GCCACCCAGTCTGTCACATTTCATGTCCCACTAGCTCAGCTGGTAGGCATGGTAAGGAGTTGTAGGGCCCTTGGGTCAACAAGAAGTAATGCAACTGTGGGGTCTGGTGGTTCCCCTATTTGTATTATTGCAGTATCTGAAGATATGTTTCCAGAGCTGTCCACCCATCCCAGCTTTTCAGGGGTGCTTCCTTGTCCAGGTAATTTTTTTATCCTCTGCTTCTGTCCTCCTGGAGAGAGAGCAGAAGGAACATGACACCTGGGGATGCCTAGAACGGTCTCGTTCACATAGACAGACCAGAGGTTACAGGTGGCTTCTGTGGTATGGGAATAGAAATTCCAAGAACCTGCTTGTTGGTTGTGGCCTAACTCATGCAAGGCACCCCATGTACCATGGGCTTTTATTTATTTATTTTTTTCGTTGATGATGTTTGGTGCTTCTTCCATTACTGACATGATGGGGTAGCCAGCATGCAAAATATATGAAGAAAATGCCAAGGAAAAAGAAAGATATGTGATACCTTCTCAAAAGCCTAGAACACAGTGGGTAGCCCCACACTGATCAGAACTGCCTGGATCTGCCTTCTGCACAAGCTCTTTGGCTGCCTGCTTGGTCTCTTCATTTCCTTAGACATTTTTCTTCCCACTTAGTCTGAAGAACAGGTGTGTATGGGATTGGACTATGAGTTTCCTTGGTCATTTTCTCCTCATTCTGAGGTGGATAATGTCTCATGCCTGGATGGTCTGCACCTGCAAACCTGAGGGAAAACAGTAAAATTCTCCCTGCTCTGATTTAGTCCCAATACATATTATCGATCATGTTGAAAGCCTGAAAGTGGACATCATGCTTTCAAAAAAATCTGCTACCTACATTTTCTCCAGATTTCTTAAGCCTTAACAAGACCTCTTGACTCTGCTCAAGGATACAGAGGGCTTCTCTGTGCTCCTCCCCCTCCTCCTCTTTCTCTTCCTCTTCCTCCTCCTCTTCTTCATCCTCCTCCTCCTCCTTTTCTTCATCCTCCTACTCCTCTGCCAGTTTGGATCCCACTCTAGTCTTCTCTGTTCCAGGAGGCCACAAGGGCAACTCCCACCCTTATGCTCTTTCATTCTTATTGTTCCATGATATCTCATTTCTTGGAAGATTTAAACAATTATTTACACGATATCCAAGTGCATATTGTTCAAAATGTCCCATTTCATCATGCCAAATTTTCTCCAGGATTGCCAAAATGATGCTTTGCAGCTCAGAGATATCTGTTCTGTTTGAAAATAGAAATTGCCGGTTTTCTCCTAGAGCACCCACCAAATGAGATCTGAACATCAAACACGATCCTCTCCGGTCTGCAGAAGGGGAAAGGTTTGGCAGCTAGATGGGCCACAGCCCGCATTATGTCATCCCAGAGCTGGAGCAGAGCCTCAGGATCTTCCAGTTGCAGGAGGTCTGCGGTTGGTGCTGTCAGGATGATGCTGTCTGTGGCTAGCTCTCCCCACGGAACTTCATTCTTGTTAGCAAGCTTCTTCCACTCCTCCTGAGATGTCTTACCTGGAGTGAGGAGCAGACAGTCTGTCCCACACCACTTTTCCTTGCTTCTCTTCATTGCTCTGGTAAGACCACTTATTAAGAGCTACCTGGAAGCAAATCAAGACTTTTCTTGCTGTGAAATGAAGCAAATCCTTCCCCTTTCCTACCTTAGATATTCAGACAGGGTTCCTCTTACCCAGGCCATTTGCACCCCACTGTTTCACCCCCTTCCTCCCTTAGGCTCTCGACCTCCCTCACACCAGTGCCCAGTCTCTTTCCAGACCCTCTCCTGGCCCAGATCCCATGGTGAACCCCGATCTCCTACTCACCCAACTTGAAGTATGGAGCTGCCACAGCACCACAGATGGTGACTGGCACTGTGCCCAGTTTGTAGGAAGAGGGCACCATGATGTAGAGGAGGCCCCCCCAGAGCCAGGAGACCTGCTTCTTGGCTTGGTTTAACAGGTACTGGTATGTTGCCACAGGGGGCTCAAATAATTGCCATGGTGACTGGTGTTGTCCATTTGGCAGCCTATGAGTATCTGTCACCAAGAGTGCAGCTCATGAGGTCACTCAGGACACAGTGAATATTGTTGTGTGTGAGGGCACCCATGTAGGGACACCACGTGCGTATTTAAGGTCAGACAGAATTTTGTTTTGGATGGAGGGAAGAACATTCCAGAGCGACAAGTTTCCCTTGAACGAGAATTGCTTCTGCTTTTGCACTTTATCTTGAGCCGCCCCTTTTGGCTATAATTATTTCTTATGTTGGACTTTGGGAAAAAAATTGGACAAAACCAGTTCAAAGGCAAAGATTGACTTAAAAACCACTAGGTATTTGTTCTTTCCAATGAGTCTCAGAGAAGAAAGCTCAGAGGAAGGAACTCTTTTATCTACCATGAGGTTACAGCTTGGACAACACATGGGTGTTTCTGGTACTACAAGAGAAAATAAGAGTCAGCAAAGCTTTGATGCTGTGTGAAAGATGAGACAAAACTATCAATTATGTGCATCTGTTATGTGCCAGTCTCTGTCTTGTGTTTTTTATTCTACTCTCCACTTAGAATTTATGGAAAATTTCAACCTTTTTTGTGAATACTTTGCTGGTCTATAAAATGGGGGTGGTACTTTCTTCCCTAGTGGGTTTGTTGAGAACATCCTAAATTGTATGGAAAGAAGCTAAGTGCTAAGAAAATATTAATCTCTCTGAGATGGGGGCTGCAGCCTTACCTTCAGGTTGGCAGCAATAGCGTTCTCAAGCAGTGTAACCTCTGCAGTCTGCCCTCCACATAAGTACAGTCCAGTGCTCACCCAGGAATTGTAGTGTCCTGATAAGAACCATAAGAAAGGCTGAAGGATTTCCCTCACTGCCAATCTACCTCTGTCTGAACTCCCACAGCCCCTCCCAAGGTAATGGGGTCTCCTGAACACTATTTAACTCATAAGGCGATCTGACTCAGGTGTCTCATACATCATCTACAATTCCCCAATTCCATCATCTTGAAAGTTTATGGCAAAGTAAGGAGATAGCCTTTCTCAGGAGAAATGACAGTGGAGTGGCAGTTGAGCCCGCCATTTTCCTGGTCCCAACACAACCCTGGGTCACTTCTTCATTACTACCATCACTGATCTCAACAGTGATGGGGCATCCTGTAGGAGGGAGAAAGGAGGGACTACTGAGGACTATACTGCTTTCAGTTCCTGTTTTGACCAGTGAGCTAGCCATGGATATCAGGACAGCCTCAGGGCTTTCTTTCTTGATAGTGTTTCTCCTGTTTACAACTGGTAAGCCCTTCCATTTGA